GCAGCCCCGTCTCGGTCACCACAGCCACCGCCTGGGAGACTGTACCGACGGGATGGCCTTGAGTGGTAGGCGTACGAGGATGCCCCTTGCCGGTCATAGCTCCGTGTGGTAGAGGCCGGCCTTGAGCCACTCCGTGGGCTTGACGAAGATCCCTTCCATGGCCTTCCAGAAGCTGTCCTGGCCGGAGTCAGCCAGGCCGTGAACCTCCCTCTGTCCGTGGATGGGCCGGCCGTACTGCTCCCCGGTGACCGAAAGGAGCACCTCGGTGGACGTGTGCTTGAACCGCACCTCGCTCTGCCTCTCCCAGTACTTGCCGCTGCACAGGACGGTCCAGTCATCCAGGAAGTCCCCCTCGCCGTCCTCCCCAAAGGCGCTGACCTCCTGGAACAGAGAGCGTTGCGTTTTGAGGGAGAGGACCTGCCGGAGATACTCGCAGAACTATTGGCGGAGGCGTTAGAGGTCACCAAAGAAAAAGCGCTGGCTGAAATCGATGAAACGTTTAGAATTCACACCAGATATGTGGCAAGAACCAGGCTTTCTAGAGAAATATGTGTAAGATTTACTAAAAAAAAGCAATGAAAACAGAGCGAGAGATAATAACCCTTTAAAATATAAAGGAAAAGAGATAGTAGTTCTAAAACAGATCCCAAGAAGAGTCAAAGAAGGAAGGAATATCAATTCCTGACAAAGCAACTAATTAAAAATGGAGTGAACTTCAGGTGGCTAATACCAGAGAGGGAATACTGGTGACTTGGATGGAGCAAAGACACAGATCAAATTCTATTGAAAAAGCGGAACAATTTTACGAACATTATTTCGGATCACAGGAGGAACCGAGAACAGGAGAGGAAAAAGAGACAAGGGAGGACAGACGACAAGAGGGAGCTACAGGAGAGAGAAGTGTACAACGAAGAGAAGACGAAAGAGATTCGGAGGAAATAGCAAGGAGAGAAGGAGCGAAACTCAGAGAATCGAGAGATAAGAGCGACTAGAACAACAAAACCAACCTACAAGTGAAATCATGGAAGAAGTAAAATTAATGTCAATTAACATAAACGGAATGAATTCGGCAATAAAAAGGAAAAAGATTTTTAGTAAATTAGAAAAATAGAAATTAGACATAATCTGCTTACAAGAAGTTCACATTAAAAAACAACACAATAAAGTACTGGAATATCCTAAAATTGGGAAGTTATATACTTCCTTACCACAACAAAAGAAGAGGGAAATAGCCCTTTATGTAAAAGAGACAATAAATGTTAAGCAAATCTTTGCAGATGAGAAAGGGAGGATTCTGATGATGGAGAATAACTAACAGGTACTTTTAGTAGCAATATACGCACCAAATAAGAGGATTTTTATGTTAAACGCTATAAGAAAATAATAGAATTGGACCATGAAAATATATGTGTAGTACGAAAAGTGATGAGATCCCTATAGATGAGAATGTGATTAGGAAAATATTAGAATGTGCAGAAATGAATAGATTAATGCTATAAGGGAAAAAGAACAAACTGAATATTATAGGACACGGGAGTTATTTTATGGATGGTTGGAGAATAAAAATAGAAGTGAGAAATAAATGGAGATTAGTGAAATAAAGAACATATATTAAGAAAGAGATGTAAACAATATGACTATTGTACATAATTGTTAAGATTACCATACTCAATATAATTAGATTTTCATTAGAAGATATGTTAAGAGGGAGAAAGAGCCCAAGTTTATTCATTCATTCATTTACTCAGTTAACACAACGCCCATCTCACTCCACAAAGCGACTCAACCTTTAAAAGCGAACTGCCGGCTCCAGAAGGGCTGAAGGCCGTTGCTTGCTAGCCATTTGTGGTCACCTGGCCGCCTCACCTGGTTGCCTGAAAGGGGAGAGGTGAAATGGTGGCTGTGCAGGTTGCGGCCTGTGTTGATGTGGGTCAAGCGGATGGTCTGGCCGCATTGTACCGGGGTGCCTCTTTCGCAGACGCTGGACGACTTGCCCCGCACTCGCCAGTAGCTGTTGCTGTCGTCCACACTGGTGACTCCGGTCACCGACTGTTGCCCGCTGCCTGGTCAGACAGAGAAGAACATGCACAGGTGACTTTCACCTGACCACCTCATTCGACCTCCAACCTGCCTGTTCACCCTGCAAGATGCTTCAATTACAGCGATTAATATGTTTAAAACAGACTCCAGGTGTTTTTTTTTTTAATAGACTGTCTTTATTTGACTGTTCAAACTTTCTGGCCCCCAACTTTATCAGAGAAACAGGGGCCCCTTTCAAGAATGACCGTCCCCCCAAAAAAACCTCTTTGCCCTGAGAAAGACCTCCAGATCATGCAGGTCAGGCCATTCCACCTCCAGATATTTCACACAGCATCCGGTGACTTCGGCTGACCTCAGGAAAGCTCACTGGCCCTCAATCCACTTATTTCGTATTTATATAGCCACTCATTTCATGTACTGGTTACATTCATTTAGCAACCCTTCAAAATTACAATGGCATTTAGAAGAATCTGCATATTATATGGTATGGGATTTGTTTTATCAATGGATAGAAAACAGAACAAACTAAAAGGGATTAGATGTATTCACAGAGCAATAAAAGAAGCTAATGTAATAGATATAGTGGATCTCACTTATTATATATATGGGAATGTGATTATTGTTATATTGCTAAGTTTGATAAGAATATTATTAATAATGGTTAAGTAATTGAAATATGTACCCAGTCGACGCACGATTGAAATGGAATTTATTTTTTTCCATATAAAATAAAACATTTCTTTAAAAAAATAAAGTTACAATGGCATTGAACAAAAGAGACACGTAATCAATCCTCACCCTTATGACCATCACGGCATCCCCTTCAGTTACGTGATGAACATTTGGATGCTTAGCAATTGCCAATGGCCCTTGGGCTTGAGTGCAGCCTCCCCAAGGTCACGTGGTTGCCGCCTGCAACCCCCCCCCCCCCCCCCATGGAAGAAAGTCAGAATCACTTAACGGCTGTGTGATGGGATTCCCTTAAAAAGGGAGTGAGGTTTGAACTGGTTGCTTTATTCAAAGAAAAGAATGTATCTAATTTTTGTTTCCATTTGGAAACCATTTCTGGATTTTGTGCTGCTGATGGAAAAAGTGAAACTTTGGTTTTAGTTTTTGCTGATTAGATAAGAGTTGCTGTTGCAGAAATGGCTGGAATTATATATATTTTATATATTATATTTTATACACACACACACATATTATTGTGAAAAAGTAAAAAAGGTTGAGGAGGCAATCTTCCACTGGGCTACAAAAAAGTCAGAGGTCCACGTCTTTATTTTCGTTTTCCCCTCCTACCTCACACTTTCTCCGGTTCCCTCCCGTACTTTTCCCATTATTTTTATCTTCTTTTGTATTTTACAGTCTGATAAAGTAATAAACATTTTAAAAAAAAAAAAAAAAGCAACAGTTGCCGTATCCTGAGGGGGGGGTCACACGTTTCCCCCTCTGTGACCTTCTGACAAGCAAAGCCAGTGGGGAAGCCAGATTCCCTTAAACGACCCCGTCACTAATTTAACAAGCGCAGTCACTCGCTTAACAACGGAGCCAAAAAGGGTTTTGTAAAATCAGGGGAAGCTTCTTGCTTAGCAATGGAAATTCAGGCCCTCGTTGTGGTTATGACGATGACGATGATGACTACAGGCAGTCCTTGACTTACGACCATAACTGAGCCCAAATTTTTGGTTGCTAAGCGAGACATTTGTTAAATGAGTTTTGCCCCACTTTGTAACCTTTTGTGCCACAGCTGTTAAGTGAATCACTGCCACTGTTAACTTAGCAACACGGTTGTTAAGTGAATCCCCATTGATTTGCTTGTCAGAAGGTCGCAAGAGGGGATGGATCACGTGGCCCCAGGACGCAGCAACCGTCGTAAACGTGAGTCGGTTTCCAAGCGTATGCACGCTGATCATGTGACCCCAGGGATGCTGCAACGGTCGTAAGTGTGAAAAACGGTCCTAACGGTCCCTTTTTTTCAGTGCCGTTGTAGGTTCGAACAGTCACTAAACGAGCAGTTTGTAAGTCGAGGACGACCTGTGCCTCCCTCTTGCCACTGAGGCCAGCAACTGATGGTGGTGGGGCCGTAAAGCAGCCGGGGAGGGCGAGAGATCCCCACCCAAAAGAAGGGCTCTGGGTCTGGACCCCGGCGAGAGGGAAGGCCAGGCCGCTGAAGGTAGGGACGGCAGTGCCCCTGAGCACGTGCAGACCGCAGGCTGCCCTCCAAGTGACTTAGGACTGATCCTCGCACTTACGACCATCACCAGATGGCCGTTGTAAACCGGTCCCAGCATCCCCATCCCTCTCTGCGACCAACAGGGAAAGCCAGATCTGCTTAACGACCCCGTGGTTCGCTTAATGACCATGGCAAGCCTCGCTTAGCAACGGAACTTCAGATCCTAATTGTGGTCGTAAGGTGAGGACTAGGTGACTAATGTAGACACTTATAGCCCAAAACCGATTCCGTGAAGGAGGCGGGGAGGCGAGAAGCCCACCCCCCAAAATGAGGGGTCCGGGGCTGGAGACAAGGGCGATCCCCCATTGGTCCTACGAGCCGCTTCCGGTAGGGTGGAGAGCGCCCCCTGAGCATGTGCAGAATCCTCTCACGCCCCCTCCCCTCTCAAGCGCCAAACCATGACCCTGGATCGTACCGGATCCGTATCGGACGTCGTGCGAATGGAGGCGGACGCCGTGACGCGGGTTGAGCAGCTTCACCACCGAGCCGCAGGTCACCGCGCCGGTCTCGCCCGCCTCACCCGGCCCGAGAACCAGCAGCAGCAGCGCCACCACCGCCGCCACCGCCAGCCTCATCCTCCGCCGCCGGTCGACTCTGACAGGAAGCCATAGAGCCGGCGCCGCCCAGAGCGGCCCGGGAACTTCCGGCCGAACATTTTTTTCTTCCCACGCTCCCAACCACGGAGAGGGTAGAGCAGAGCGTCCCTCTCATTGCCGAGGGCGTTATCGCCCCGCCCCGGAAGTCTTTCCCGGCGTTTCCTGTCGTCGCCCCTCCCCGCCCCCCCCGCCCCAGCGTCGTCGTCGTCGCCGCTGAGGGAGCTCCGAGGCCTCCATTTTCCCCGCCTGAGGTGAGCCGGGTGAGCGCGGGGCGGGGGGGTGGCGCCTGCGGCTGGAGGGTCCCGGAGCGGCCCCCAGGCCTCTGATCCCCCCTCTCGAGGCGGCCCAGCCGGGGAGGAGTCGGGGGCGGGGAGGGCGAGGCCCGGATTGCAGCGGTGCCGCCTCCGCCGCCCCCCCCCCCCCACGCGTGAGGGGGAGCTTTCGGCTGGGCCTGGCGGCGGTCGGAGGGAGAGGGCGACCCCTCCCCTCTTGGGATATGGGGCAGAGGGCGTTTCTTTCCCTCCCTCGTTCCCTCCCGGGCCCCACAAGAGACGGGGGAGGCTCTTCTCCGGTGGGCCTGGTGCGGCCGTGGGGGGGGGGAGGACTCCAGGCGGAGCCCCCCTCCCCGCCCAAGTGTTATTGGCTGAGGTGGGAGGGGAAAGCCCAGGAATTGGGGGGAAAAAACATTGGATGAAAACACAGGGAGTCCTCGACTTATGACCACCAGGGACACCCCCCCCTCCCAAAAACCGTTTCTGTTGTTAAGTGAGACACCTGCGAAGTGGATTTTGCCCATTCGACGAGCTTTCTTCACAGAACAGAATGGCGGAAGGGACCTTGGAGGTCTTCTAGTCCAACCCTTGTGATTCTGGAGAGAGGGCTGTCCTTTCTCTTCTTGGACCACCTCCAGGGACTGAACGTAGAGCCAACTCTATGGTTTTCCCACTTGCAATGCATGGCCGTGAAAGTGGGACCACAAGGAAGGCTGAGCACCGAAGAATGGAGGCCTTTGAACTCTGGGGCTGGAGGAGGAGGCTCCTGCGCGCGTCCCTTGGCCTGCAAGGCCATCCAACCGGTCCGTCCTAGAGGAGATCCACCCTGACTGCCCCTTAGAAGGGCAGATCCTGAAGAGGACATTCCAAGACTTTGGCCACCTCATGAGGAGGAAGAAGGACTCGCTGGAGAAGAGCCGAATGCTGGGAACGATGGAGGGCAAGAGAAGAAGAAGAAGGGGACGACGGCAGAGAAGGAGGCGGCTGGATGGAGTCCCTGAAGCAGCCGGCCTGAGCTTGAAGGGATCCCAGGGGACAGTAGAGGACAGGAAGGCCTGGAGGAATGTGGTCCATGGGGTCACGATGGGTCGGACACGACTTCACAACTAACAGCAACAACATGGTTGTAAGTCGAGGACTACCTGTACCCTAGAGTTTTGCAGCACTGCAGAATAATGCAAGAGTTGCAAGAAACCAAATGAAAGGTGGGGGAAACTTGGGAGGGCGAACCTTCCCTCCCTTTCATCGTGACCCTTCCTTTCTGGATTCCGGAGATTTTCATCCAGTATATCCTGCTAAGGTTTTGATTGGCGGGTCTGCATAAGCCAGCATGAATCCTTGCTGCTTTGTGCTCAGGTGGGATATATGAAGATGCAATGGAGCTGCTTTGACTTAGACCTGTTCTTGAGCAGGGATGTCTAATCTTGGCCACTTTCAGACCTATGGGAATTATCTCCCATAATTCCCCAGGGTGGCTGCGGTATTCTGGGAGTTAAAGTCCACAAATCTTAGTGGCCAACCCCTACTTCATCTTGCTCCTCTATTTTGGAGTCCTTTGTGACCACAGCTCTTTTCTCGGCTCTTTTCTACAATACATAATGAGAATAGTACCTTGTTTACGAGTTACTTCACTTAAGCATGGTGGGTGAAGTCTCATATATTCTATGAACACCGACCTGGCACACTTGGGAGTCTGGGGGTTGTAGTCCAACCTCCCTGAAGAATAGCAAGTAAGAGAAATACACCCTAATGTCCCTTTTTGGATACTGGGGGTCTATAAAGATACCATAACAGGAAGGCAGGTTGGTAGGTCAGGAAGACTCTCCTCCAACTCACAGCCCCAGATTTTCCTTTTTGTGGATTATAATCTTAAGTGAATCAATATTTTGGTCTTCATTCTCCAACTGTAGTGCCAGATAGTGTTATTTGCTTCTTGTTGCTATTATTTGTTGTGATTTACTGGTTGTTAGAGATGCTGAGAGTCATCTGGAACAGGGGTCTCCCACCTTGGCAACTTTAAGACTTGTGGACTTCAACTCCCAGAATTCCTGAGCCAGCTTGCTGAGGAATTCTGGGAGTTGAAGTCCACAAGTCTTAAAGTGGCCCTAGGTGGGAGACCCCGATCTGGATTAGTGCCATTTTCCTGAATTTCAAGCTTTCTCTGGTTTGGCACCTTCCAGATGTAATGACTTTCTACTCCCACAATCCTCTGGCCAGTATGGTGGCAGGTGGGGAAGGGCTTCGGTATTCTGGTATTCCGAGTTGCCCCAGGAGAGCGAAATGGCTTCTGAGGAGATCACTTAGGAAATGCATATTTAAGGCTGGCAGAGCAGGGAGGAGCCCGTGCTGGCTTGAATAATAAAAGAAGAATGCAGAGCTCTGTAATTTCTTGTTTAGGAAACCCCAAAATTCCTGCAGAGTGTTACTTGCCTAATAATAGCTGCCAGTTTGATGTAGTAGAGAGTGAGGCTGGTATAGTAGTTAAGGCTGGATCAGGCTACAAACTGGGAGGCGCTGAGTTCTAATCTCGCTTTAGGCACGAAAGCCGGCTGGGTGACTTTGGGCCAGTCACTCTCTCTCAGCCTCAGGAAGGAGGCAATGACAACCCACTTCCAAGAAAACTTCAGGGACTGCAGGTAGTCCTTGACTTACAACAGTTCACTTAGTGACCGTTTAAAGTCACAACCACACTGAAAAAAAGTAATTTATGACCATTTTTCATATTTTTGACCATTGCACCATCCCCGTGGTCACGTGATTTACATTTGGATGCTTGGCGACTGATTCACATTTACAACGGTCGCTGTGTTCCCGGGATCACACGATCCCCTTTCCACACATGGCTGGAAAAGATGCAACAGGATATTGATTTAAAACCTGAAATGTTCTTGTTGGGGATCTTACCTGAAATTTATAGTAAAGAGAATGTATATTTGATTATTCATGTCTTAACCGCAGCTAGAATTGTGTTTGCACAAAATTGGAAAAGTAAAAAGATTCCTACTAATCAAAGTGTGATAAGGAAAATATTAGAATGTGCAGAAATGAACAGGTTAACACTTGCAATTAAAGAGAAGGAACAAACTGAATATTATACAGTATGGGAATCATTTTATCAATGGTTAGAGAAAAAAATATGAAAGTTAGAGACTAGCGAATAGAAAATATGCTTATAGAACAAGTTAAGATGAGGATTGCTATAAAAATTAGACATGTATATCTGTAATCTAAGAATAGAGAATTAATACCAATGTAATTATTACAATTGGGAAATTTTAATTGTTACTGCACAAAACATTTGTACCCAGACAACACACCGTTTAATGGATGTTTGTATTATAAATAAAATACAAAAAATAACTTAATTTTTTTTTTAAAGTATGGCATAAAAATGGGACAAACTCACTTAGCAACATAAATTTTGGGCTCAATTGTGGTCGTAGCTCGAGGACTACCTGTATTGCAGGCCAGCAGCCAACAGTGGCTCAAAGGCACCAAATAAATAAAAATGGGTGCTTGGAGAAGGTAACAACAGAGATCCAAGAAATGCTTGCAAGGACTTGGTTGCTGGTAGAGTTGAAACTGGCAAGGAGGCCACCGTTTTGCCCATCACTCGGGTGATGGAAGTGGTGGTGGAAGGCTGAGGCTAGAGAGAGCAGAGGGGGGTCCTTGGTGCTCTCTGAGCTGGGTGGTTTTGTTGCAGACGTCTCCTTATCAAACTAGGTAACATCAGTACTATTAGGAAGTGGGGCTTGCTCTCTTTTTAACCCCACTCCTGACTTGCATGGATGGCGTTGCCTAGTTTGGTAATGAGACGTCTTGCAAGAAAACCACCAAGCTCAGAGGGGCACCAATGAACCCTACCGTTGAACACTTACAACCACAATTGAGGGCAAAATTTCTGTCGCTAAGTGAGAAATTTGTGACGTGGGTTTTGCCCCATTTTGCGACATTTGTTCAGTGAATCACCGCAGTTGTTGAATTAGTAACCCAGTTGTTAAGTGAATCTGGTTTCCTCCTTTGACTTTGCTGGTCAGAAGGTCACAAAAGGGGATCACCTGACCCCGGGACACTGTGACCGTCATAAACCTGAATCAGTTGTCAAGCATTCGAATGTAAATCACGTGACTGTGGGGATGCTACAACAGGTGTAAGTGTGAAAAATGCTTGTAAGTCTCTTCAGTGCTGTTGGAACTTTGGTCGCTAAGTGAACGGTTGTAAGTCAAGGACTGCCTGTAGAGATGTTCCCTGCCTCTGCTGCCGTGTTTCTGGAACGATCCCAATGTGGTTCGACCTTCTCTTGTTTGTCTCGCCCTGTCTTCGCAGCTCCCTGGTGAGAGGCTATCACCGGTGCTTGTTGTCAACTCATAAAACATTTCTATGACATTCGGCTCCCCTCACTTCTCGAAGGTGACCTGTATGACACCAAAAGAAAAGTTTGGCTCGAGACTCATGATTTAATTGGAGTAACTGCCGGAATCCTGACCCTTGCGTAGGTTTATCATGGCTGCTAGTCCTTCACCAGAATTAAGTCCCCAAAGCAAGACAGTGTTATGTGAGTTTTGCCCCATTCTACGACCTTGCCTCAGTCACTACGTGAATCTGACTTCCTCGTTGACTTTCCTTGTCAAAAGGTCACAAAAGGGGATCACAAGACCCTGGGAGGCTGCAACTGTCATAAGTGCATGCCAGTTGCCGAGCCTCTGAATTTTGATCACGTGGTCATAGGTCTCATCCGTCCCCCCCCCCAGTACCGTCATGTCTTTGAATGTCACTAAACGAACAGTGGCAAGTCGAGAACCAGCTGCAATCCAACAGCCTTCAATAAAAGACTGGCTTCTCTTGACGGATCGAATGTAGAATTTTTCCTAAAAGATGACCATCTGGGTATCCATTCCACCTCTGCTAAATTCTAGACCCAAGCCATAAAGCTTCACGGTAATGGTTAACTAATCAGGCTTTGCTGATTTCTCAGGTTGTATTTGGTCATATCTGGTCTTGGACCCTAATAAAATATTTGTTGTTCTCTGGAAAAAGTGGACTTGGAACTGCTGGAACACACTGACCCCCTTCCTGTTGTATACTTGGACAATGCTGATAGAATAGAATTCTTTTATTGGCCAAGTGTGGTTGGATACACAAGGGATTTGTCTTGGTGCAAATGATCTCAGTATACATAAAAGAAAAGGTACATTCGTCAAGAATCATAAGCTACAACACTTGGTCATAGGGTACAATAAGCAATCAAATCAGATAGATAGGAAGGAAGGAAGAAAAAGACGAAAGAAAGGAAAGAAAGGAAGGAAGAAAAAGAAAGAAAGAATTATTAGCCAAGTGTGATTGGACACACAAGGAATTTGTCTTGGTGCAAATGCTCTCAGTGCACGTAAAAAAAAAGATACTTTCGTCAGAGTTGAGAATCATAAGGTACGATAGTCATAGGGTACAACAAGCAATCAGATCATACCAGGAAACAATATAAATCGTTAGGATACAAGCGACAAGTTTACAGTCATACAGTCACAAGTGGGAGAGGATGGGTGATGAGGAGTGACGAGAAGATTAATAGTAATAGTAGTGCAGACCTTGTAAATAGGTGGACAGTGTTGAGGGAAATATTTGTTTAAGCAGAGGGATGGTGTTGGGGGAAAAACTCCCCTTCTGTCTAGTTGTTCTGGTGTGCAGTGCTCTATAGTGTTGTTTTGAAGGTAGGAGTTGAAAGTTTATATCTGGGATGTGAGGGGTCTGACAATATTGTATTAGCCACTATCTCAGTATCTTATTTAGAATATAGAATAACAGAGTTGGAAGGGACCTTGGAGGTCTTCTAGTCCAACCCCCTTCCTAGGCAAGACACCCTACACCACTTCAGACAAATAGTTGTCCAATCTCTTCTTAAAAACTTCCAGTGTTGTAGCATTTACTCTTCTGGAGGCAAGTTGTTCCACTGATTAATTATCCTATCAGGACATTTCTCCTTAGTTCTAAGTTGCTTTGTAAATGAGTAAAATGTCCATGGGGATTTTAACTCCAGCCTCTTTCTCCCCCCCACCCCCTTTCCAGGCAGCGCGACTGTGAACCACAGCCATGTCCGACTTTGTGGAAAGCGAAGCGGAAGAATCAGAGGAGGAGTATGACGAAGATGGGGAAGTGGTCTCGAGACCCCCCAAAAAGTTTGTGGAAGACGAAGACGGTGAGCTTTTTAGGCAGCGTTCCCAACCCGTGCCTGTTGTGATCGGTCCCTCAATTTGTCCTGTGAAAGTTAAAAGTCGCTTTGTTACGAGAAGGACAGCAGATAAATTCAATAAATCGATAAAATAAATCAGTCCCGTGGGCCGTATTCATGGTTACTCATGTCGTGATCGTGGTTGGATTACTGTAACATCATTCTGCATGTGAGGCTGCCCTTGAAACGCATTCAGGTGCTGCCATTGGTCCAGAATGCCCTGCGGGGCACCGCAGAGTTTTGGGCATTCCACAAGATGGCCAAGTAAATGGAGTCCCCTGATCCTCTGGGTCAAAGGGGCCTTGTAAGGCACTTCCAGGTTGAAAGGATTGGCCGGGGGTATCACCGTTGCCTGGGGAACATCCGTGGGGGGTTCCATTGAGGTCCCTGTCAAGGAGCTGGAGCCAAGGATGGGAACTCGCGCCACCCTACAGTGGGACATGGGTCTCGGAGTGGGCTTGGAAATCTCTTGCCCAGTGTCCCAACCACGTGAGCCACCGCGCTCCTTATGTGAGTGGATTTACTAAATTTGTATGCTGCTGCTGCCGCCCACCTCCCGGATAAGGCAGCCCTGGGTGGCTGACAAGCCATGAAAATAATAAATATAAAAGCAATTAAAAATAAACAGAGATGCGTAAGGACTAAGACCAAGAGCCAGACAGCAATCATCTCCATCCAGGAGCCAGGTTTTGAAGCCCCTCCATAATACCTCCGCTCTGCCATGGTGGCATCTCCCGGTGGCCTTCAGAGTCGGTTACCCCAAAAGCCCCACATAACACAGGCCAACGGGTGTGTGTGTGTGTGTGTGTTTGGGTGGGGAGGCCTCTTTCTCTGATTCCTTCCACTGGCCCCACCCAAATCCCCAGAGCTGCCTGCTCAGGGTCCCCTGCATTAGGAAGTGTCACCTGGAGAGACCCCGACTCGGGCCTTCTCTGTCACGGCACCCACCCTGAGAAGCAACGTCACCTCGGAGATGGCAGACCGGATAGTCCTTTGTGACCAGAACTCATTTGGTCACAATAAGCCCAGTTGGCCTTTCAGGAGCCTTCCTGGAATTTGAAGTCAGCTCCCGGCCGTTTGGGTGGCTGCTTTGCCCCTAGCTTAACCAGGCACCTGCCCCCCCTCCCCCCCCCCCCAAAATCTGGTTGGCCAATTCCCAGGATGAGAACTGCTGGCTGTCTGGTTCTTCCACAAATCAGCTTGTGATCCAAAGCCGAGGGGTGTTTGGGCCTCCGTTCCCGAGAGGTTCTTCTGCCCCCGTGAAGTTTTCCATCTCTTTCTCCCCCCCCCGCCCCCCCCCGGGGGGGGGGCGGGGTCTCCCGTTTCTTTTGGTTTTTTATTTCTTTCCTTTAATTTCTGGCTGCCCCTTCCAGAGGAGGAGGAAGAGGAGAACCTGGACGACCAGGATGAACAAGGGAACCTGAAAGGGTTCATCAACGACGACGACGATGAGGAAGAGGAGGAGGAGGAAGAGGCCAGCGATTCCGGAGACTCGGAGGACGACGTCGGCCGGAAGAAGAGGAAACGCAGTGAGTGTTTGGGACGGGCGCCCAGTGAGACGGGAGGTTGGTCGTTGCCTGGAAAGCTTCAGGTGGCAGAGGGGCCTCCGGGAGGTCCACGGAACTGGCCTTTGCCCCCTTACATCAGCCCCCACCCCACCCCCACCCCTCGTTCAGGCAGGGAAGGCCTGCTACCCACCCAAATGGAGCATGCTGCTATAAAGAGGGTCAGAGGGCTGCAGGCTAAAACACACGAAGAACGGTTGCAGGAATTGGGTTTGGCCAGTCTAGGGAAGGGAAGGCCTGGGGGGGGGGGGCAGCGGGAGAGCATCTTCCTGGGTTTGGGGGGCTTTCAGAGGGAAGGGGGGGGGGCAGTGGGGTCGACACCAGAAGGCAGGACAAGAAGCAATGGACGGAAACTAACCAAGGAAAGAAGGGAGGGATTTCCTGAGAATTAGAACAGTGACCCAGCGGAGCAGCTTGCCACCAGAAGTGGGGGTGCTTCTCCTACCCTGGAGATTTTTAAGAAGAAATTGGACAGCCACCTATCTGAAATGGTACAGGGCCTCCTGCTTGAGAAGGGGGTTGGACTAGAAGACCTCCAGGGTCCTTTCCAGCCGTTACCAGTGTTAAATGTGTGCACGCTATGTGCAATAAATAGGTCGTGGACAAGATCCCGTCAGTCAGAGAATTTTGACTGGCAGGGTCCAGGAACCCTGCCACCATACCTGCATTGTGGAAGATCTCACCTTCAGAGGCGAGGAAAACCCCTGCCCACCCCTGGATTTTTTGGCCTGCCTTTGTGGCCGTGTAGCCTTGTAGGGGGGACCCAGAGGGCCCCACAACTACGGGGGGCCCCCTCCGCCCCATCACCTGTATTAACCATGACTCATCTCCCATCTTGGGATTCTCCTGAAATTTGTGGTTTTTATATTTTTAAAGCTTTTAATCCTAACTTTTTTTATTTTAATGTTTAATTGTATTGATTATATTGCACACTGCCCAGAGCTTCCTCCAAGGCAGATAGGCTGTGAAGGTATATGAAATTACATACATACATACATACATACACACACACACACACACACACACACACTGAAAGGAGGGAGGGAAGGAAGGAAAGAAGGGAAAGAGAAAAAGAAAGGAAGAGAGAGAAAGAAAAAGAAAAGAGGGAGGCAGGGAAAGAAGGAAAGGAAGGAAGGGAAAGAGGGAGGGAGGGAAGAAAAGGAAGGAAGGAGGGAAAAGAGAGAGAAGGCATTGCAGTTCTGCCTCTCCTGGCATGACTGTAAGGTCCTGCCTTGCCCGTCTTCTAAGAAAACAACCCTTGAAAGGAAGAAAGTTTCAAAAGGAACTTTTATTGAGAGACAAGGGATACCCAGGGAGATGGAGGCAGGATCTGAGGTTTCCCGCTTGCAAGCAAAGCTCCCCGCCACCCAAATGCCCGGTCCAACATCGAGCCAACCCCAAGGTGGCCAAGATGTTGTGAGAACCTCAGGCAGGGAAGGGGAATAATTGCCATTCTCCCAGCCGCATCGGTTTGGCTTCCTCAGTGGCCGGGACAACGAGGGCAGATGGCTCCAAGCCCACTCCCCTCCCTCCTCCCTCCCTCCTCCCCTCAAGGTCCCAAACAAGAAAGCAAGGGAAAGCCAGCCCCCCCCCCCCCCCAAGCCTCCCCCCTCCCGACAGAATGGCAGCATCCCAAGAGGGGACTTTGGAGACCTGACCCTTCTTATCTCGGGGCAGATTTTGATGACCGCCTGGAAGACGATGACTTCGACCTCATTGAGGAAAACCTGGGCGTCAAAGTGAAACGGGTGAGTCAGTTTGGGATCCCTGGGCCCCCACACCGACCGGGGGGGGGGGGGGGTCTCCAACCTTGGCCCCTTGAAGACTTGCGGACTTCAATTCCCAGAGTTCCCTCAGCCAGCAAGGCTGAGTTGGAGGGAGTTGAAGTCCACAAGTCTTCAAGGGGCCAAGGTTGCAGACCCGTGTTCTTGGGGGGTAGGTGTGGGGGTCTCTCTATGGTCAGCTGGGAGGAAGGTGGGCCTAGGAACCCTGGTCTTCTCCTTGGATTGTTCCTGATTATTTTACCATTCAGTTATTTTGCCTCTGAGATCGATAAAAGGAGGGCCCAGATTGTTTTTTGGGGGCGGGGGGGGAGATGCTGACATTACAACCTGCTCAGAGAGGGCTGCAAAGCAGTATGAAGGGGTATGTAAGTCCAAGGGCTTTTGCTTTTTTTCTCTTTGTTCTTGCAAGCCCTGTAGTCCCACAGTTAGACAGGCAGCCGATAAATTTAACAAATAATAAAAGAATGAATAAAATAAACCCCAGGCCCGTGGGTGTAGGACAAGGGTCTTCTAACTTGACCGCTGTAAGACTTGGGGACTTCAACTCCCAGAATTCCTGAGCTAACGTGACTGGAGGAGGAGGAATTCTGGGAGTTGAAGTCCCCAAGTCTTAAAGCGGTCAGGTTGGAAGACCCCTGGTCTAAGGACAACTCAGCACGGCCTACTCGCCACGCCCAGCCTGTTGTAGGACAACTCACTCTAGAAGAAAGGATTAGTTCCTTATGCATCAAATCGCTACAAAAGCTAGTAACTGTCGGAGGGATTTCCTTTGATACAAGTGATAAAACAATTTTGAGGAAAACGTGGCCAACAGAAATAAAAGGAAGTGAATGAATCCCCTGGCAAGTCCACTGCAAGTTGGTTGTGGTGAACGGGGCTGGACTAGAAGACCTCCAAGGCCCCTTCTGTCATTCCGTTACTCTATTATTCAGTTGGCCGTGGCGAGTTGTCCCCCATCAGCCCCCCCCCCCCCCCCCCGCTCCCTGTGCTGCTAGTGGATATCCGTACGCAGCTCTTCCCCAAATCACCCGTCCCTTCAGGTGTCCTTTGGGGGTTTGGCCCTTGGAGGGGAGGGTCCCTGGGTTGGTGGCAGTGAAGCTCCCCCAGGCGGGCCGGCAGCCTCGTGGGGAAGGGGAGGAGACGGGGGTATTGACCAGAGGGGCCTCCTCTCGACAGCAAAAATTCAGGCGGGTACGGAAAATGTCGGACGATGAGGACGAGAAGGAGGAAGACTATGGGAAGGAGGAGCACGAGAAGGAAGCCATTGCGGAAGAGATCTTCCAGGACGGGGAAGGCGAGGAGGGGGGCGAGGGAGCCGACGGGCACCTGGCCGCAGCTGACGATGAGGAGGATGAAGAGGAAGACGAGTCCGGTACGTGTGTCTTGGGGCCTCCTGGCCACAAGTGTCATTTTTTTCAGTGCTGCTGCAACTTCGAACGGCCATTAAGCAGGCAGTCGTAAGTCGGGGACTACTTGTGTCTTCAGTGTCTTTATCCTCCTTCCCTCTTTCCCAGGGCCAAGTGAAGCTTTCCTGAAGGGCCCTTCCCCAAACAGTGGGCGGTTTGCCTGGCATGGCATAGGTCCTCCTGTTGGAGCAGGGGGTTGGACTAGAAGACCTCCAAGGTCCCTTCCAAATCTTTTCTTCTGGCTCATTCCTGCCCCTTCCCAAGGCCAGCTCAGGACTCCTTCATGGCAGGCTGGAGTGGCAAAGGAATAAATACCACAGGGTCTGAACCAGGGACGCCCCCCAAGCCTCGCGCCCATCTTAGAACCTGGCGCTGTGGGGCTCCGAATTTCCTTCGCTTGGCCTCATGGTTCCCCAGGCTGGCCAGGGAACGCAGGCCCCGCTCATCGGGCCAGGGAGGAGGGCGAGAGTCCAGTTAGGGCAGCTCTGCAGTGGTCCTTGCCGCTGTTTCTCTTAGACATTGACGACTTCATTGTGGATGATGACGGTCAACCCCTGAAGAAGCCCAAATGGAGGAAGAAGCTCCCCGGATACACAGACGCGTGAGTCTGCCTCTGCTCTGACATGCTCACCAGGTGGGGGACATTCCTTGGGACAGGAGGTGGGTGGACCTGCCCATAAGGTCCTCTGGGCCTTTGGGGGCGTGGCTCTTGAGGATGGGGCCAGCTTAATCCAGTTGTGGGTATGGACCTTCTTGAGAAGGTGGTAGTTCCATTGGGGAGATGACTCTTGA